ACAAGCCAGAGTCACACTTTTCATCCTTGACCATCAGCAAAATCTCTAAGATTCTTTTTAGATTAAATAAAAACAAAATTCATCTGTTCCCACATCTTTGGAAAGCAAACCATTTTGCTGCCCATAAATGACTCTTTTTCTTAGTAATGCAGGGTATCATCTTGAGCCATGGGTATAGTGTGTAGAACAGGGATATATTTGGTTGGATGGGGGGTCTTTGTTTTAAATGTGTCTAGCTGACTCTCTAGTGCTGATTTAACAGAATTACCACAAGTGGATTCCTTGAACACATTTATTCTCTCACAGTTTAGGAGGCTGGAAGTCCAAGTCTACGTTTCCTTTCCATGTCCGTGGGCGTGGCGTCTCTTGGAGATCTCCATGATTTTGGCATCCATCTTTACCTGTGTCTAGGAGATCCGCAGCAAAGGAATCTTGGTCCCAAAAGATACACTTGGCTCATGACTTTTCTTTCTTGGTGGCACTGAGGTCCCACTGAGCTCTGCTTACTTGTTATATATCAAAAGATATGGACTCAAATCTAATCCTGTAGATTGTATTCTGCCTCATAAACATAAACTGCCTTTCATCTTGCCTCATTAACATCATCGGGGTTAGGGTTTATAACACATAGGGAAATCACATCAGATCGCAAAGGGGAGGATAACCACATAATACTAAGAATCGTGGTGTACCAAAATGACACGTATTTTGGGGGACACACAATTCAATAACACTGGCCTCACTTTAAAAAAAAAAAAAAAAGAAAAACCCAATATATTTTGGAAACCTTCCCATGTCAATTAACTATTGCTGTACCTCATTAAAAATATGTAAATATATTGTAGTAAAATATATAGAGCAAAACATTTGCTGTTTTAGCCGGCCATACATTTTTGGTTCCTGGGCCTGTTTTTCAGAAGCTTTTGTTTCCTTGCTGCTCTTGCTGTCGACTAAGGAGATATCTGTCACTTTTTCCAGCTATTGGTGTTTTCAGCTGAACATCTTCCTCTCTGCTGCTTTGCTGTGTCGAATCTGTGGTGTTGGTTCAGTGATTGACTTTCCACTGTCCCTGCAGGAGACCTGGGTTCAATTCCCGGCCAGTGCACATCCTGTGCAGCTACCATCCATCCGTCAGTGGAGGTTTATGTGCTGCTATGATGCTGGTGTAAAGAAGCTCTGGTAGCGTAGTGGTTATGAATCAGGCTGCGAACCTCAAGGTCAGCAGTTCAAAACTACCAGCTGTGGGAGAAAGATGAGGCGTTCTGCTATTGTAAAGATTTACAGCCTCGGAAACCCTGTACAGGGTCGCTATGAGTCGGAACCGACTCCATAGCACATAACAACAACAACATGATGATGGTGTGGCACTGTAAGTGAACACTGGACTACTTACTGTAAGGTCGGTGGTTCAAACCACCAGCCTCTCCTTGGAAATCCAATACGGTGTTGCTAGGAGTCGGAACCGACTTGACGGTATTTATCAACAGCAATGATGCTGAACAGCTTTCAACAGAGTTTCTAGGCTAAGACTAGGAAGAAAGGCCTGGTGATCTACTTCTGAAAATCAGCCAGTGAAAACCCTGTGGATCACAATGGTTCCATCCACGAGCGACCTTGGGGTACAAGAAGATGGGGCAGCATTTTGTCCTGCTATATGTGGAGTTGTCATGAGTTGGCGTTGACGGTACAGCAGCTAATAACCACAACACTCTGTGTTTCGGGTGGAAGATACTTGATCACATTCGTAAAGATTGGGTGCAACATAAGCAGAAGTGGGTTCTAAGCGAGGGATGAGTAAGTTACTTGGAGAAAAAGGGTACAGTTGTTCTTAACTGGGTTTCAATATTGACTGAGATTTTCCAATGACTGGGGCCCAGTTGCGCTCAGATTTCCCAGAGGTCTTGCTGCTCCTCTCAGCCCGTGAGCAGAGCCACATGCAGGAGCTAAGGTAGCCCTGTGTGTGAAGGCCAAGGTTCAAAAGCCTCGTCCAAGGCAGCCTGCACTCATTAATTAACCAACCAGTGGCGATTGAGTTGATTTCAACTCATGGCAATCCCATGTGTGAGTTTATTTTTTTTTAGTTGTAGATTTTCTGGCCTTACTTCCAAGGTTCTTCTGGACAGACTTGAACCTCCAACTTTTCATGTTAATCATTTGCATCATTCAGAAACTGTGCACTGATTCATTGGATGGGCCGTTTTCTTTGGAATTCTCTTCCCAGACTGCTGGTTTTTCTTGAAGGGCCTCTTCCTGCTCAGCTGCTCATTGACTCCTTGGAGGCTTCTCGGGTGGGCGGGAACTGGCCATACCTGAGATGGTTCCAATCAGGAATTCAAATTTGATTTACAGATTCCATAAACCTATCCTTACTGTGAGGGAGGTCTGAAACCAGGCTCTGCTGTTTTCAAGTTGTGTAGCTTTGGACAGTAAATCCGTAACTTCTCTGAGTCTCGGTTTCCCCACATTTAAAATAGAGCTATATATACCTTAAGGAGCTCTGGTAGCATAGTGGTTACGAATCGGGCTGCAAACCTTAAGGTCAGCAGTTCGAAACTACCAGCCGCTCTGCGGGAGACAGATGAGGCTTTCTACTCCCGTAAAGACTATGGGGTCGCTATGGGTCAGAACCGACTTTATGGCACTTAACAACCACAACAACAATATCTTCCTTAGAGTGTTGTTTTGAGGACTAAATGGAATCAACGTGTGTAAAGGATTAGCCCACTGTCAGGCACATATCAAGTTACCTTGAACTCAGCTCTGACTCATGTCAACCCTGTGTGTGTGTGTGTGTGTGTGTTAGAACTGTGCTCTATAGGGGTTTTGCTTTAATTAAAATTTTTTTTATTGTGCTTTAGGCAAAAATTTACTTAGCAAATTAATTTTCTAATCAGTAATGCATACAAAAATTGTTCTGTGACATTGGTTGCAATCCCCATAATGCATCAAGTGTCTTCGTATTTCTTTCCTGGGTTCCAGGTCCCTCCTTGTGTTTTCATCTTTGGTGGTGGTGGTGCTGTGCCGTGGAGTCGGTTCTAATTCACAGTGGTCTTGCATAGGGTTTCTGAGGCTGTAAATCTTTAAGAAGGTCTCATCTTTCTCCCGCGGGAAGGCTGGTAGTTTCGAACTGGTGACCTTGAGGTTAGCATCCCAACTCATAACCACTACACTACCAGAGCTCCTTATCTTTGGTTTTGGGCAAATGTTACCCGTTTGGTCTCCTATAGTTGGTTGTTCTGAGGAGAGCATTCTTCATGGATGATATTCTTTTCTATGGAAACCCTATGCAGGGTCGCTGTGAGTCAGGACCCACTTGACACCACTTAACAACATTTGGCTAAAAGGTGGCTTCCAAGAGAGTCTCCAGTTTTAAGTTAGAAGGTTGTCTCTGGGCTATGGTCTTGGGGGTCCCTCTAGTCTGTTTCAGACCAGTCAATCTGGTCTTTTTTATTTTTTTCAACTTTTTATTGTGATTTGGGTGAAACTTCACAGAGCAAATTGGCTTTCCATTCACTAATTCATGCACATTTTGTTTCATTGTAACAACACTTTTCTCACTTCCACCTGGTGTTTACTGCTTCCCTTCCCCCTTCTTTCCTATCCCTTCCTGCCTCCAGTTTTATCCCTGCACCAGAAAGATGAGGCTTTCTGTTCCGGTAAAGATTTACAGCCTCAGAAACCCTGTACAGGGTCGCTATGAGTTGGAACCAACTCCATGGCACGTAACAACAACAATGCTGCCTTTGGGTTTTGTGTGATTGATTGTTCTAAAGAGGTGTACCTCCCTGGTGTTATTACTCACTGATTATGTGGTTTATGGTTTGGCTGAAAGTGGAGCCGCAGGGATAGATGGTAGGGATTGGGGCATGGGGGGTGGGAGGCCTATTATTATTATTATTGTTATTTTAATTGTAGGTTTTTTTTCAGTGGCTGAGTTTATGCAAATAGATTGCCAGGACTTTCTTCTGAGGAACCGCTTGGCAGACTCAAACTCGTGATCTTCCAGTTAGCATCCAAGAATTTAATTGTTAGCATCACCTGAAGACTTAATTAGACACATAATAGTTTTTGAAAAAAACCATACAGTTACCTTTGAGTCAATTCTGACTGGCGGTGCCCCCATGTGTTTCAGACTAAGACTGCTCCATAGGGCTTTCCTGACTGTGGCCGTTAGGAAGCACATTGCTGGGGCTTTCTTCCGAGAAGTCTCTGCGAGGGTTTGAACACCAGTCTTTCTCAGTTAGTAGTGGAGCGCTTAACCACTGTGCCACCAGGGATTCTACTAGGTGCTTAATACACATCGATACCGTTTCTTTCTTTAAGCTAGTCATGGGCTCTTAGGTTACAAGCAACAGATACAGTTAGTAACTGCTTACTTTGTGGGGGATTTATTGGAAGACCATGGAACAGCTCATAGACTTACAGGGAAAACTGAAGAAAGGAGTCTTGGACAAGACAGGAATCTGGGCTGCGGTGGGAGACTGGAGCGTCTGAGTAGCCTGTCCCCCACCTGCTGCTGACAGGGGCCCCAGCTGATTCTCAGTGTTCAGGCTGGTCCTCCACCTTCAGACTTCAGGGGACACAGCATTTAACTGGCCAGATTTGGACCTCACCTCCTTGACTATGGGGTGGGTAGGCATCTTTTTGGCTAGTCCTGTTGGATTCCTGGTATGGCACTGTAGGAGAAGCACTGGAATGCTAACCACAAGGTCAGAGGTTCAAACCCACCAGCCGTCCCTCGAAAACCCTAGACAGGGTTGCCATGAGTTGGAACTGACTCCCGGGCATTTAACAACAACCTGGTCATACTCAATGTGGGACAAAGGTGCCCATGCTGTCGGGAACTGCTCCTGACAGAGGGATGGACGCTGGGCAGTGGGATGCCTAGCTGTTTGTTGCTTCATTCTTGTTGAAAGGTGGGTGCGACTAGGACTGGGAAGAGAGGGGCCCTTCCGCCAGCCTTTCCAGGATCATGATGCACTGTGGATGTTGGTTTCTAGATGCCGACAAGAGGATCAAGGTGTCCAAGCCCGTGGTGGAGATGGATGGGGATGAGATGACCCGTATTATCTGGCAGTTCATCAAAGAGAAGGTAGTGCTCCCTCCTCGAGTGGGTGCTCTCCAGGCGGGTGGGCTGGCCTCAGCGTCCTGCCCCAGCACAGCGCTTCCAGGTCCCAGACTCCAGCCGTCACCTGAGCATCTCCTGTCCATCCTCTTCTACGTCCTGACTGCTCACAAACCTTGTTGACACAAGGCAGCCTGTGCTTGTGCCCAAGCTGGCACATTTAAAAGCAACTGAACAGATTCAGGGCTGGTCCTGTGGTCACACCTTTCTTGATTCCCTGTAGTCCAGTGTGCTTTCTCGAGTGGGACTGAAAGGGGCCAGGCTGGTGCACAGGACAATGGCATGGTCCAGGGTAGCACCATGCCCAGTGGCTCCCAGAGTGGCTGCCTGGCATCTCCAAAGGTGTCGTGGTCACAGAGGAAGACTGGGAACTACCACTTTTGCTTGTCAGGGTCTCAGAACACTTGGGGGAAGGTGGGGGGCAAGAGGGAACTCACTGTATAGAGACATGTAGATGCCTTAGGAGTTGGGGTTCAGCTGAGATGCTAGGCCGTGCGGGGGTGGGGAAGGTCCATGTTGGGGCCTGACCCTCTGCTGTACCCACCGTCCATGCTGTGCTTGCCTCACAGTCCGCTGCCTTTCCTGTGTCTCTGGGTCTACAGCCTCAGAGGCACAGTCATGTGACTGATGCCTTGTCCTGGCCTTCTGTCTGTCTGTCTGTCCCTAGCTCATCCTGCCCCATGTGGATGTCCAGCTCAAGTATTTTGACCTCGGGCTCCCACACCGTGACCAGACCAATGACCAGGTCACCATTGACTCCGCGTTGGCCACCCAGAAGTACAGCGTGGCCGTCAAGTGTGCCACCATCACCCCCGATGAGGCCCGTGTGGAAGGTGCGTGGGCTGGGTGGGACTAGGAGGGTCACTGGCTCTCCCCTCCCCACTGACTTCTCTAGAAGGGAGCTAGTAGCATCTGGGACTGGGAGAGGGGTGGGTGGGAGCCTCTGGAGCTGGGGACCAAGCTTCACTTGGAGATGGGGTGGGAGTGGGTGGGGGCTGTGAGATGCCCCCAGTCTCCCTGAGGAGGCCCTAGGTTGGTAGCATGGGTTTAACCAGCTGTTGTTCAGTCTTCTCCACCTCATGGCGACTCCACATGTGTCAGATAGAACTATGGTCTGTAGGGTTTTCAGTGGCTGATTTCTTAGAAATTGACTGCCAGAGCCTTCTTCTGAGGCGCCATTGGGTAAACTTGAACTCCAACCTTTTGTTCCAGGGACTTAAGAGTGACCTTAGGGAGCATTATAGATGAGGCCTCAGGTTCCTCAGTTAAGCTGTGGCCAAGCCAAGACCAGAATCCAGGTGTCCAGTCTTCCAGGCCAGTGGTAGATGTCATCAGGAATGATGGTGATGAGGAGGCTAAATGACACTGTAGTCACAGCAGAAATGGCTTCTTTGGGTTGCCCACCCTCTGGTCTTTGCAGGCAGGTTTACAGAGACGTGGGGCTATCTCTGTCCAGAGCAGCGCTGTGCGCCAGGCCTGTACCCTTCAGAGACTTGCAGCCCCCAGCAACATCACTAGTCCCCTCCTGGGTTCTGACACTGCAGATACGCAGGGCGTCTCAGAGAGGTTGGACTGTCTGTGAGTCCCCCATTCTGGGGGCTGCTCTGAGGGTCCATGAAATCATACCAGTGTGTTGATAAAGCACGTCACTGGGGCCAGGTTTGGATAATTTAGGAAAGAGTGGTTTCTGAGTTTTCAGAATGCTCTTCTGTCTTCTGGGTCAACCAGTTATTATGAGGGAGCTAGAAGGAAGCCCGCAGGCAAGTTTCTAAACTCCCCAACCTTCCGATAGCTGCCTTTCCAGGTACTTTGTAACTGCTTTTTGCATGTTTCCTTGTATTCCTCTGTAGCCCTGGAATTAACATAGCCCTGTTTTATGGACAAGGAGGGAGAGGGTCACAGTCTTGTATCTTGGGCTGGACCCTCTGAGCATGTTGGTGGCAGGCTCTGTGTCCTCTGTGGCCCCAGGACCGGTTCCAACCAGAGCATCTGGAGTGAGGCTGTCTGGGTCTGTCAGACTGAGCTGCCTCCACATGTGAGGAGAGGACAAGCGTAGCACTCTGCATGTGCTGGGCACCATTTTACATGTTACTACCAGTTGCTGTTGGGTTCATTACAATTCATGGAGACCCCGTGTATGTCGGAGTAGAATTGTGCTACGCAGGGTTTCCAGTGGCTGATTTTTCGGAAGTAAATTGTCCGGCCTTTCTTCTGAGGAGTCTTTGGGTTAGCAGGTAGGCCAGCACAGGAGTGTTAACAGTTAACATCAACCCCGGCTTCCACATCACAGATTAGCTCATTGACTCCTCTCAACCACCAATTAAGCTGGGCATTTTAGCAGAAATTCCAGTTTATAGTTGACGTTACACCACTTGCATAAGACTCATGGTTAGAAGTAGCTGAGTGGGGTCTTGAACCCAGGAAATCTGATTTGAGAGCCTACAGACTAGCTCTAGATTCTTCTGGGTGATTTTTAGGACACCTGTCTATCTATACTGTTGCCTGGAGTTCAAGTTCTGACTGGGAGTTTTACAATGGACCTGTTCATCTCTGTCCCCACAGAGTTCAACCTTAAGAAGATGTGGAAGAGTCCCAATGGGACGATCCGGAACATTCTTGGGGGAACCGTCTTCCGGGAGCCCATCATCTGCAAAAACATCCCACGCCTCGTTCCTGGCTGGAGCAAGCCCATCACCATTGGCCGACACGCCCATGGTGACCAGGTAGGCCACTACGGGAGGCTGGGTCCACTGGCCTGAGACCCCTGAGTGAAGTCTCTGGCCTGAGCTGTCCTCTCGTCTCTTCAGTACAAGGCCACAGACTTTGTGGTGGACCGGGCCGGCACATTTAAGATGGTCTTCACCCCGAAGGACGGCAGCAGTGCCAAGGAGTGGGAGGTGTTCAACTTTCCTGCCGGCGGCGTGGGCATGGGCATGTATAATACCGATGAGGTGAGGCTCTGAGCTTGTGCTGTCTGGATTTGAACCTCCCCTGGGCAGGGCCAGGCTGGAGGTGCCATCTCTTCCTCCCTCAGTGGTCTGAAAAAGGTTTGAGGATGGTGAACCAATGCATCTTGGGTGTGTCTGAGGGCTTTCAGACTCCTGCTTAGCTTGGTGCACCATGAATTTCTGTACTCCTTCTCAGATGCACCTTTGGGGCCTCAGTGTATGTGTTCATCAGGACTTTTGGTTTTTAAGTAAACTGGTTAGGTAGGTATTTCTTCCCCTGCGTCCACCACCCCTCAACTCTCAGCTTTCCTTTCCTTTGTGTGGTCTCATTCTCTGTCTAAGGAGTGGCAGAAGTGGCCACCAGCAGCTCCAGGCTTATCCTCTGGCAGCTAGGCTGGCCGTGAGAAAAGTGCCTCTTCATGTTGTTGCTTTTGTTAGCTGAATCACCCTCCGACTCTTGGCAACTCCATGTGCAGCTGGACGAAACGCTGCCTGAGCCTGCATGATTGGTTACAGGTTGGACCATTGGGATCCTTGAGATTTTCACTGACTGATTTTTGTAGCTAGATTTCCAGGCCTTTCTTCCTACTGTCTTAGTCTAGAAGCTTCATGGACACCTGTTCAGCCTATAGCAGTGTGCAAGGCTCCACTGATGGACAAGTGATGGCTGCACATGGAGTACATTGGCTAGAATTGAACCTGTCCCCCCGGAGCAAGAATTTTACCACTAAATGGTCTCTCTTCACGCATAAACCAAAGAAACCCCAACTGCCATGGAGTTGATTCCTGCTTGGAGTGACCCGATAGGACAGTAGAACTGCTCCATAGGTTTTCTGAGACTGTAAATCTTTATGGGAGCAGACAGCCTTGTCTTTTGCCCACAGAGCTGGTAGGTTTGAATCATCAACCTTGTGGTTGGCCTAGTGCTTAACTCACTGTGCCACCAGGACTCCTTCACTCAGTGTTGTTAAGTGCCGTTGAGTCGGTTCTGACCCATAGTAACCCTGTCTAGGGTTTCTGAGGAGCAGCTGGTGGGTTCGAACCACTGACCTTGTGCTTCAAAATGATCTTGTGGTCCAGTGCATTATCCTGCAGCTCCATACCAGAACTTTACTTCACTCAGTGGTGGTTGTGGTGGTTGGTTATGTGCTGTGGAGTCGGTTCTGACTTGTAGCGACCCTGTATACGTCCCCGAGGCTGTAAATCTTTTTGGGAGCAGAAAAGCCTCATCTTTCTCCTGTGGAACCGCTGGTTTCGAACTGCTGAACTTGAGAGTAACAGCCCGACTCATAATCACTACGTTACCAGAGCTCCTTACTTCACTCAATAGTTCTAGTTTTAAAAAAAACAAAAACAAAAACCGAGACCTGGGCTGGGACCACATGACCATTTAAGGCCAATCACTGATGCTCAAGGAAGGAAGGGCTCTGATTGGATAAGCAGAATCGCACTGACAATCCTAATGGCTGGCAGGTGGGTCTGGGGAGATTAGCTTCACTTCAACCATATGGTCTAAGAATGGTAACAAGAAGCTAGCTTTTAAAAACAAAGTTGAGGGACTACTTCCAGAACTTGGGAAAGTATGCCACAGCAGATACACAAACTGGGGTGACTGAAGTTAATGCAGACTGCCTGAGAGGGTCGGTGCAGGGTCTGGGCCTGGTAGTCCCTGGCTAGGGGCTGAAGCTGGGGACCCTTTCTCCCTGCAGTCCATCTCTGGCTTTGCGCACAGCTGCTTCCAGTATGCCATCCAGAAGAAGTGGCCGTTGTACCTGAGCACCAAGAACACGATCCTGAAAGCCTATGATGGACGCTTCAAGGACATCTTCCAGGAGATCTTTGACAAGTAACGCCTCCCTCTTTGTTGCCTCCCCAAGGACTCCACAGCCCTTCCTCCCTTCCCTATGGCCCTTTTCCTACTAGGGGAATGTCCCTTGGTGGTGGTGGTGTCGTGTGGAGTCGGTTCCGACTCATAGCAACCCTGTACAGGGTTTCCGAGGCTGTAAATCTTTACGGGAGCAGAAAGCCTCATTTGTCTTCCATGGAACAGCTGGTAGTTTCGAACTGCTGTGTGTGGTTACCAGCCCAACTCGTAACCACCATGCTACCAGAACTCCTTGGGATGTCCCTTGGGAGCCCCCATTTCACAGCAGGCCCTTTTGCTCCCAGGCACTATAAGACTGACTTTGACAAGAACAAGATCTGGTATGAACACCGGCTCATCGACGACATGGTGGCTCAGGTCCTCAAGTCTTCGGGCGGCTTTGTGTGGGCTTGCAAGAACTATGATGGAGATGTGCAGTCGGACATCCTGGCCCAGGGTATGCTGGGAGGACCCTGCTCCTTGTGGGGGTGGAGATTGTGAGACCTTTTTAGTAGCAAACCTCTCTAGTGTATTAGCAAGCCTGGGGCTTGCCTTGCCTGCTCATTGCAGGGTTTCTTGTGGACAGCACGGGGGCAGGAGCTCCCTGACATATGAATGAGGGAAGGTCACAAACTAGGTTTGGATGGATTTATTATCACTACAGCTGCAATTACACAGAAACAGTAAAGGACTAGGTGAGTCAGTTCTGAGGTGGTTCATGGACACGAAGGAACCAAAAACTGACATGGTTTACCTTTATCAAACTGTATACTCACCCCTATTTGATGTTAACTTTCCCATCACCACAAAATAACAAATGTCTGCTCCCTGGAAGGAGTCCTGGTGTGGCATTGTGTGTTAATGAGCCGGATAGCCAAATCGGTTTGAACCACAAGGTTGGCGGTTCAAGCTCACCAGCTGTTCCTCGCTATGGTTGGAACCGATTCAACAGCACTTAACAGCAACTCCTAGAAGGGAGTGCAGTGACTGTAGGATTAGCACTGGACTGCGAAGCATAAGATCAGCGGTTCAAGCCTACCACCTACTCTGCAGGAGAAAGATGAGGCTTTCTGCTCCTGCAAAGATTTGCAGCCTTGGAAACGCTATACAGGGTTGCTGTGAGTCGGAACTGATTCAGTGGCACTTAACAACAGCTATCTAGAGAGTGAATTCCCAGCACCTTCCCCAACTTCCACTCCTCTTACCGAGTCCCTGCTAACCACTAATGAATATTAGTTTCTGTATATTTATTTACCTGTTCATATAATTCTCTAAAAATGAGAACATACAATATTTCCTTTTTTTGTGATTGCCTTATTTTAGCATAATGTCCTCCAGGTTCGTTCATGTTCCAAGGTAGTTCAGGAACTCATTTTTCTTTTTTACTGACTAGTAATCTATTGTATAGAGTCCTGGTAAGCTGTGGGTTAATGAGCTGGACAGCAGATCGGTTTGAACTGCAAGGTCAGCAGTTCAAGCTCAACCAGCTGCTCCTCAGAAACCCTGTACAGGGCCACTATAGGTCAGAACCAACTTGATGGCACTTAACAACGACAACATTCCATTGTATGTATGTACCACATGCACCAAGGCAACTCTGGTATCATAGTGGTTACAAATTGGGCTGCTAACCTCAAGGTCAGCAGTTTGAAACTACCAGTGGTTCCACAGGAGATTTACAGCCTTGGAAACCCTGTGTAGTCGGAACTGACTCCATGGCACATAATCACCACCACCACCACATGCACCAAGAACAAAATCCTGTCACCTGGAAACTGTCTCTTCAGAGTATCTCTCTCTCTCCTGGAGTAGGCAAGCTCTCTAATCACATACTTCCAAGCATTGTTTTGTTTTGCTTTTTTCCTAAATTTTATTAGTTTATGTTGTTGAGAAAATACAGTGTAAAATAAACCAAGTTTCTACAAGTATAATTTAGTGACATTGATTACGTTCTTTGAGCCATGCAACCTTTCTCATCTTCCTTTTACAAATGATTTTTCCCTCATTCACATCAATTTATTGTCCCCTAAAGTTCCTGTCTTTGGACATATTGTCCGGAGGAAACAATCGTTGGAGAAGGATGTCATGCTGGGTAGGGTGGAGGGTCAGAGAAAAAGAGGAAGACCCCCAACGAGATGGATCAGCCAGGTGGCATCATTGATGGACTCAAGTGTGGCAGCGGTAGTGAGGTTGGCCCAGGATCGGATATTGTTTCGTTCTGCTGTGCATGGGGTCGCTATGAGTCGGTTCCGACTCGATGGCACCTGACAACAACAACAAAGTTCCTGTCTAATCTTTCAGGTTGCTGTTGTCAGTTTGATCCCAGAGAAATCGATCGTAAAAGAGCACAGTGCTCACGGCAAGCCTTTCGACTAGTGAAGCGAAACTATTATTTGGTTTTAAGGTTTAAAGATGATCTCAGAGCAATAGTTTCCAGGATTTCCAGCCTTCATGGCTCTCGAAAGTCTAGAGTCCATGAGAATTTGAAATCCCATTCTGTATTTTCCCTCTTTGGATAAGGATTCTTCTGTGGCATCTTTGATCAAGACCTTCAGTAATGGTAGCAAGCAGTATCTAGTTCTTCTGGTCCTGTGGCAAATGGGACTAATGACATTTCAATGTTCTCTTTGGTAAATGTCTAGTCAAGTCATTTGCCCATTTTATGATTGTGCTATTTGCCTTTTTGTTGTTAAGCTGTTATAGTTTTAGATTTATTTTGGTAAGTTTTCAATTTTTTATTTTTAATATATTGATGACCAATATACTGTGTGTCATGGTGGCGCTGTAGGATAAAGCACTGGACTGCTAACCATAAAGTTGGCAGTTCATACCCACCAGCTGCTTTACTGGAGAAAAATAAGGCTTTCTTCTCCTGTAAAGATTTACAACCTCAGAAACTCTATACAGGGTCACTATGAATCCAGACTGACTCGATGACACACAACTACCAACCACCCTGCCTTCTCATCTCTGCTTTTGGATAGATGTTGTCCTTTCATTTCACATGTGATTGATTATTCTAAGGAATAGATGCCTCTCAGGTGTTAATTGTTTATTTTTAAGGCCTGTCTAGTGTTTGACTGAAAGGTGTTTTCTGGGAATGATGGCTTCAGTATCAGGTCATCAAGTGTGTCTTAGGGCCATAGTCTCAGGGCTTCCTCCAGACTCTGTCAGACCAGTGTTAGTGCTGTGTGCCGTGGAGTCGGTTCCGACTCACAGCGACCCTGTACAGGGTTTCCGAGGCTGTAAATCTTTACGGGAGCAGAAAGCCTCATCTTTCTCCCGCGGAGCTGCTGGTAGTTTCGAACTGCCGACCTTGTGGCTCACAACCCGATTCGTAGCCACTACGCTACCAGAGCTCTTTGTCAGACCAGTAAGTCTGGCTTTTTTTTTTTTTAATTTGATTTTTTGTTTTACGTTTTGCTTCTGCTGTGTCTTGGATGCTCTGTTGTGGAGTAGCTCGGTACCCTCTAGTTTTGATCTCCGAGCAGTGCAGGCTGTGATTCATGTGATCCATCAGTCCTTGGACTAATTGCTTCCTTGGGGTTTGGGTTTTCTTCTTTCTCCTGTGCTCTGGATGGTAAGACACCAGGCGTTGTATCTTAAGATGACCAGAGATACTATTCACCAAAGTAGGATGCAGAGCATTGTCTTTGTGAACTATGTTGTACCAATTGACATAGATGGCCCCGAAGTCTTCACTTTTGAACCTTGGATCTTTGGCCTGTGAGCTGTCTGGTTATGCATGAGAAGTTTCCATGACTACGCCCCTGTGCGCTCTATTGCCTGTATTAGTACACATGCAGCACCTACAATTGGTGTGGGTGTCAAGTGCCTTTGAATCAGTTCCAACTTTAAACAGCTCTGTATTGGTTTTCCAAGGAGTAGCTGGTGGGTTGGAACCGCTGACTTTGTGGTTAGCAGTCCAGTGCTTATCCTATAGTACCACACCAGGACACCTACCATTAGGTATGTAGAAATATCCACAACCAAAGCCTCTATCTTCTCACCTCTTTTTAGCATACCTACCTACCTGTCTGTGTGTGTGTGGCGCTGTGTGTTAATGCACTGGACTGCAAAGTAACTTTGAACTGCACGGTTGGCAGTTCAAGCTCACCAGCTGCTCATTGGATGGCATTTAACAACAACAATCTGTGTGGAGTCCTGGTGGGAAGCTGCAGGTTAATGCACTGGACTGCAAGGTTGGTTGAAACCATAAGATCGGCAGTTCAAACTCACCAGCTGCTCCGCGGAAACCCTACATAGCGTGGCTGTGAGTTGGGACTGACTCGATGCACTTAACCACCACCAACGTTTACCTGTGTATCCATTCGTATGTTGTTCTTTGTTAGTACCATTGTTGGGGAATACAATAAGCACTGGACTATGTATGAACCATAAGGTCCACGGTTCAAGTCTACCTGCCACTCCGAGGGAGAAAGATAAGCCTTTCTGTTCCCATGAAGATATAAAGCCTCTGAAACCCTATGCAAGTTTGCTAAGAGTGAGAACTGACTCGAAGGCACTTCCCATAAACCACAGCACTCTTGTTGTAAGATTGTCTGTGTTCTACTCACTGCTGTGGCTTCGCCATGTGTCCCTGTGTTCCTTCGCCATGTGTGCTGATTTCTCCAGTGGGGCCTTTCCCTTCACCCTTGTTAACACTTGCCTTCTATCTAGTTAGTAGTTTCCCTCCTTCTCTGATTTCTTGTAGTGATTAAAGTGCTGTCGAGGCAGTTCCTGCACTTAGCGACTCTGTACAGGGTTTCTGAGGAGTGGCTGGTGAGATTGAACCACCAGCCTTAGCAATTCAGACCAACCTTGTGGTCCAGTGCTTATCCTAAATGCCACCCCAGGATCTCTACTAACCATCAAATAATGGCATTTTAATTTGTTTTCTTCCCCCTGTTTGTATACCTTTTCTTTTTCATAAAAGAGGTCCCATACCCTATTTGTCCTTTTGTGATTGATTTCATTCAGCCTAGTATCCTCCAGATTCATCCATGTTGTGAGATGTTTTGTGATTTGTTGGTATGTTTATTGTTGTATAGTATTCCACTGTGTGTATGTACCACAGTTTATCCATCCATCCGCTGATAGGCACTTTAGGTTGTTTCCATCTCTTTCGCTATTGCTGCCGATACTGCAGGTAACAATGGTGTATGTTGTTTATGTACGCTGTTTATGTGTCTGTTTATGTCATGGTTCAGCTTTCACGGGGGTACATATCTAGGAGTTGGATCATGTTGTTGTTGTTAGATGCCATCAAGTCGGTGCTGACTCATAGCGACCTTATGCGTGGCAGAGTGAAACACTGCCCGGTCCTGGGCCAACCTCACTACTGTTGCCACACTTGAGTCCATCGATGCTGCCACTTGGCCAATCCATCTCGCTGGGGGCCTTCCTCTTTTTCTCTGACCCTCCACCTTACCAAACATGATGTCCTTCTCCAGCGAGTGCTCCCATAAGGTAGTTTTATTTCTAGCTTTTTAAGGAAGCTGTTTGCATAGTTGTTATTGTTAAGTGTTGTCAGGTTATTTCTGACTCATAGCAACCCTGTATAGGGTTTCCAAGGAGCTGTGGTAGCACTAAAGGCCTGCTAACTGAAAGGCCAGTGGTTCGAATATATCAGTCCCTCGGGGGAGAAAGATGAGGCTTCCTGTTTCCATAGATTTATAACCTGGGAAACCCTACCCATCAGGTTTCCATGGATTGATCTACCCTTGGGTTTGAACTGCTGAGAGTGTGGTTAGCAGTCCAGTGATTACCCTACAGTGCCACCCCAGAACTCCATTTTCCATAGTGATTGTACCATTTTGTATTATTCCCGTCAGTAGTGTTTTAGAGTCCTAATCGTCCTATAACCTCGCCAACCTTTTTTTCTATTTTTTTACATTCGTGCCATTATTGTCAGGTTGAGATGGCATTTCACTGTTGTTTTGATTTGTATCCGCACTGGCGGCACAGTGGGTTAAGTTCTGCTAACCTGCTAACCACAAGGTCAGCAGTTCAAACCTACCAGCTGCTCTGAGGGACAAAGATGAGGCTGTGTGATCTTATAACGATTTATAGCCTCAGAAATGCTCTGGAGCAGCTCTACTCTGCCCTGTAGGAGGGTCGCTGTGAGTTGCAACTGCCTCTGTGGCAGTGGATTTGAGGGGCATTTCTTCATGTTTGTTAGGTGCCTGTTTAAAAACTGGGGTGTTTGTCCTTCTGTGGTTGAAGTAGTGGAGTTTTCTATAACTCTTAGAGATTAGATCCTTAGTGGATATGTCGTAGCCCCCCAGTTTTTTCCAGTTTGTAGGGTCTTTTTTTAAAACTCGTTTGGAGAAATCTTTTGATGAGCATAAAGTATTTTTCGGAGGTCCCATTTATGTAGTGTATCTTACGGCGCTTGTGTTTTTCTAGTTATGCCATATGTTAGGGCCGCTAGCATCGTCCTGATACTTTCTTCCACAGTCTTTCTAGTTTAGTGGACTTTGGCATTTTGTTGAAGATCAGCTGCCCGTAGCTTGATAGATTTATGTCTGGATTTTCAATTCTGTTCCAGTTGTCTATGTGTCTGTTGTTTTGACTAATGCCCCCAGCATAAATTCTTAGGCAAACCATTTTTCTATAGAGTCACTCAGTTTTTCATTTTGGGATTTTCATGTCCTTATTTTGGTACCATGGGACGTTTTGAAGCCCAGGAATCCTCGACAACTGTATACTCCCACTTTTCCTAATGAAAATGGCATCTGAGTTTGAGAAAATCTGGAAATCAACCACCAAGCCATTACTTTCAAGTGGCCAAAAGAACACTAAATAGGATGATGCTCGTGAAGTAGCTGATGGCAGATGTCTTCTTTCTGCTTCTTCTGGTCACAGGCTGGGCTGGGTGGGCTAACTTGGAGGTAAGATCTTGGGATAAGGGGGGTGTTAGCCCTAGAAGGTACAAGCTGTGGTAGGCCTGGAAGTGTGGACACAGACGTGTGTCAGTGTGCTGGTGACAGCCACCTCAGGTGCCCTCTGGTTTCAGGATAGCCTGAAACTCCCTGTCCTCCCAGCGTGTGGGGCCGGGGCTAGAGGCGGCCACAGCACCTGGTGAGGAGATCTTTCTGCCCTGCAGGCTTTGGCTCCCTTGGTCTGATGACCTCTGTGCTGGTTTGTCCGGATGGGAAGACCATTGAGGCAGAGGCTGCTCATGGTACGGTTACCCGCCACTACCGGGAGCATCAGAAGGTGAGTGGGGCTGCGTAGCTGCTCATTGCCCCCCCCCCCCCCTACGCCCCAAGCCCCTAGGGGCTGTGAGGACCTCTCAGTTTGGCCTTATCAGTCCAGTGGCCACCTTGCTAGCTGGGCTCTTAAGTGGCTCTTGACCCCTGCAAACCCTCCTCCCAGGGCCGGCCCACCAGTACCAACCCCATCGCCAGCATCTTTGCCTGGACACGTGGCCTGGAGCACCGGGGGAAGCTGGATGGGACCCAGGACCTCGTCAGGTGAGTGCAGAGTGAAGGGTTGTTCTGGGGCCTGGCTCCACACAGCTGGGCCCTCACTCGGCACGCTGTCCCCTGCAGGTTTGCACAGACCCTGGAGAAGGTGTGCGTGGAGACCGTGGAGAGTGGAGCCATGACCAAGGACTTGGCGGGCTGCATCCATGGCCTCAGCAAGTGCGTGGCCCTGGGCTGAGGGCAGGGCAGGTCTTCCAGGATCTTGGGCAGAGTGGGAAATGGCCAGAGGAGCCCTGTAGTCAGCTTAGTGCTAGGGGCCGGGGCTTGGACAGGTACTTAACCCTGAGGAGGGCTCAGCCCTGCATTCTCAGAACAAGGCCTGTGAGATTGCTCTTATCTCTGACACTAGCTGCTCCCAGCCTTTCCCATCCCCCTCTTCAGCCACACCCAGCTTCTCCCAGGGGAGTTGTTCAATCACCTGGTGTCCTTGGGTGCTGCAAATAGTCAGCGCACCTAACTGCTAACTGAAAGGTTGGAGGTTTGGATCTACCTAGAGGCACCTTGAAAGAAAGGCTTGGTGGTCTAAATCTGAAAATCAGCCATTGAAGGGAGCATGGGGTTGCTGTGAGTTGGAGCCAACTTGACCTGGATTTTAGCCACCAGGTGTCTGCTGAGTCCTCTGTGGCCTGTAACTAGGCATTTCCCTCCCCACGTGGGGTACAAGAGGCTGCTGTTCGGACACCCACGCTCAGGTGGGTTCTGCTATGGAATGGCCCCGCCAGTCCCACACTGATGTGAATGGTGTTCTCTCGGCAGTGTGAAGCTGAATGAGCACTTCCTCAACACCACGGACTTCCTGGACACCATCAAGAACAACCTGGACAAAGCTCTGGGCAAGAAGTAGGGGAGGCGCTGCCCCAGCCGCTGTGGTGGACAGGACAGAGCCTGGCGGGCAGCAGCCACCGCTTTTCCTGACGCAGCGGAGGGTGAGCCGCACAGCTCCTCTCCGGGGAGCCTGCGCACAAGGCCTGATTTTTAGGGGACATTTTTTATAAGTGAGATATTTTTAAAAGCCTGTCTGTGTTTCCCCTCATGGTGATGTGAGGCAGGAACAGCGTGTTTTACCTCAACCAGTCAGTATGTTTTGCATACTGTAATTTATACTGCCCTTGGAACACATGGTGCCGTATTTAGCTACTAAAAAGCTCTTCACAAACTGTCTACTGTGTGTGTCCCTGAGGGGAAGGAGACAGCTGGGACCCAGAGGCAAAGGCGTTCTTAAGCTGGCTACAAGTGTGCCTCAGGCCGCAGCAGCCTGACCCTAGGCCCCCACCCAGCCAAGGTGGCCACCATAGTTGGGAGGGGACTGGGTCACACTACAGGAATGGTTTGGGGTGCCTCTGGGACTCTTCCCTGCAATGTCTTAGCACTGTTCTATTCTTGATCTTCTCCATTTGGGACTGTATCATTTCTCCATAGGTTGTGCTTACTATCTTTGTAAGTTTAACCTTCTAAACACCACCATTTTCTTGGTACCAGGAAGTTCCTAGGACTCCTAGTGTGGCGCGTGCTGTGAGACAAAGCATTGGACCACAAGATAGGTTTGAACCACAAGGTCAGTGGTTTAAACTCATCAGTTATCCTTGGAAACCCTACACAAGGTCGCTGAGTCAGAACCAACTCAGCCGACTTAACGGGTATGGCACTGTAGGATAAGCAGTGTCGGTTTGAACTGCAAAGGTCAGTGCTTCAAATCTACCAGCTGCTCGTTGGAAATCTTATACAGGGTCGCTATGAGTCAGAACTGACACCACGGCACTTAATAACAGCAAGTTCTCTAGGAGCCCTGGTAGCAAAGTGTGTTATATGTTGGGCTGCTAACTGCAAGTTTAGCAGTTTGAACCTACAAACCACAACATGGGAGAGAGATGAGGCTTTCTGGTCCTGTAAAGATTTGCAACCTTGGAAACCTGAGTTGGAACTGGCTGACAGCATGCAGCCTCAGCACCCTGGGGCACGGGTATGTGTTCATGGGAGTGCAAATGAGGTTTTCCTATAGTCCAGGCCTGTGGTTCTCAAACCGGGCTCTTCATTTTCATCATTCTGAGACAAAACTAGAATGTCCAGTTGTAAAGTTGTTCTAAAGCCAAATATATAGAGTCTGTTGAATGAATGGTCCTTTCCTGTAGGCATTACAGCGCTACTTTTTGGTGTTAAAAAATGCTCCGGGGAAGACGTGTGTGTTTACCCCAAGTCCATTTCCCACAATTTGTGGGTCTTCCATGGTTCATGAAACCCAAGACTTGGAGCCACTGCTGTAGACACGTTGGGGACCCTTTTCCTGTGCTTGTTAAGTGCCATCAAGTCTGTTTCAACCCATAGCAAACTCTTAATAGAGTTTCAGAGGAGCGTCTGGTGAGTTTGAACTGGTGACCTTGCAGACAACAGTCCAGTACTTATTCTACAGCACCACACCAGGAGCCCATTAAACTCTAGGTAGTTTGAGGAAGAAAAGCTTGTGGGCTGGCAGCACCCCAGAACTCAGCCTCTGAAGCTCACTCTGGCATTGTGAGCTGGCTACTGTCCCAGTGCGTGCAGGTGGGTAGCGAGGGGAGGTGGCTTTTCCCTGAGACTAGGAATTCCAGGGCCTCAGCTCATTCCCCTCTCAGGCTTGGAGCTGTGAACTGTAGGCTGTAGCCTTGTAGGGTCTGTTTCAGAGCAGAGCAGGGCCTGGGTCCCCATGAACCTCTGGAGTGGGATGGCGTGCCATGTGGGCGTGGTGACGGGCCAGGTCCCTAAAGGCAGCAGAAAGAAGTACCAGTAGTCACCTCACTAAAGAATATTCGTTTATTTATAATTATTGCTAAGTAAACTTTTCTTTTAAACAGGAACATAAAAACACAGTAGGGCTCTGCACAAGTAGAATTTCTAAACAGTTGGTTTGTACACACGTCAGAATAAGTTAGAGTGGAATTCATCCAGGAGTTTCCCAAGTCACCCGAGAGGCTGCACGCCTCTTTGGAAAAAGGTGGGGAGGGGTGAGGACAGGAGCTTTGCCAAGACCACCCCCCGGCCCCCCGCCTCAAATTGTGAGTTGTGCTGTTTCCTTCTCTTAGCTTTGCCTAGGTCCAAGGCACAGGGCAGGAGGGAATTCAAGTATAGAACCTCGGAGAGGGCTAGGGCTGATGGCGGGGCTGGGGGGAGGAAAGCAGAGCCCCCGCCCTGGAGGCCAGACCTTCTCCCTTTAGTTTCCAAGACCAAGGCCACTGTGCTGGCAGGAAAGAGGAGGAGGAGGTACAGGGTTCTTTTTGGTACCAGGGGATAAAGACGTTGTGGGAAGAGGTAGTTTGCAGGGGATGATGCCTTCTGCTCAGCAGGAGAAAAAGGTCTTCTACAGTGACCAGAGGGGTCACTGCCACCTGAGGATCATCATGTGGGCACCTGGGAGGCTGGGTGGCCTTGGGGTCTAGGGAGTCACACCTGGGGAGAAGCTCCCATGAGCCCCCGGCCCTTATACTTGCTACTCAGTGTAAGCTCTAGCATAGAAGGGAGGGGCACCTGGCTGTCCGATTGAGGCCACGTGTGTATCTCTTCAGTTCCAGTCACAGCTGCCTGAGGCCTGGCTTGTTCCTTCACAGGCTAGGGGTTCCCTCAACTGTCTCCTCTCCTGGTTTCTCCACTGAACTAAACCTGGTGGCTTCCCGTCCTCTGTGCCTTTGGGGAAGGCCTTGTGTGGCCCCCCCTGCACTCCAGGGAAGCCTCGGGAGTCGGGAGTCGTGTGGGTGGGAGTCCTTGTGGCTGAGTGTTCCTGAATGTGCTATTTTCCTGCCCTAAACTTACAGTCTTCTGACAGGAGCTGGAACAGAGGGGGATAGAGAACAGGGGGACGAGGGAGTGAGTTGCTGATAGGTTGGGCAGGGAGCGCAGAGGGCCCACCCAGCACACTGCCTTCTCTCATTCTGGCTTCCTGTCAGCAGCTGCACCTTGTGGGCCAGGGTCCCCTAGATGTGGGAGGCACAAAGTACACACAGCACAAGAGAGAGCTTGTGTTGTAGGCAACACAAAGATGGGAAAGAAAAAATAAATTAACTTTGAAAGACTCCCATTTGCTTAAAAAAAAAAAACAAGTTTCCAATATGGTCTTCAGTTCCCTTTTCAAATGTTCTTCCCTCAGAGCCTGCTGACTCTTGGCTGTTCCCATCCTCACATGGATACTTGTTAGAAAATACTTTTGCCTCGTCCCGCCCTCCACCCAAAGGTGGTCCTTGGCCTTCCCCTGAGGACAGCCCCTGTTGTCCTGCTCTCCCCTCACTTCAGAACTCTGTCAACTTTGTTCATGTTGGTGGCCCCAGCATAGCACCCCAGCTTAGCCCTGAGACCTGGGTGGCAGTAGCTGAAATCTACTTTAGGGACATGGCTTGGAAGAGTACTTCCAAACAGGATTGCAGGACACAGGCTTCTGGGGGCGGCTGGGCTCCACCTCACTTGCCTGCAGACCAAGGGCTGGGCCGCATGCACACCTGGCTTGAGGAGAGAGCGGTACCCGGAGGTAGAAGGCAGAGCGCCTTGCCTGGCTGTCATCGGCAGGGTGGGGAAGGGGACTCTTAGGTTTGGGCCTTTTACAGCACAAGGGCTGAGGAGGGGGTGTGTGTGGGTGAGTGCTGGCCAGCACAGGTGGATCAGTTATCCCTAGAGACAGGAATTGGCCAAGAAGAGAAGGCACGGCTCAAGTGATCTCTTCCTTCAGTGTCAGGGGGTCCAGGCCCCCCCAAAACCCATCATGGTTGCTGGGCCTAAGAGAACAGACCCCAAAGAGTCTGTGTCCCTGTGACCCATCCCAGTGTGGCCCCTTCAGCATTCCCTCCCACCCCCCACCCCCACGTCTCCTGTGCTATCTAGTCTTCCTGCATGGGAACGCTGGGGGGCCTGGCTCACAGCTGAGACCAGGAGTACAGTATCCATTGGCTCTCCAAGTCCCTAGTGGTGCAAACAGTTGTGGGGGAGGGGAGGGCAGGGCACAGTAGTAGCTTGTTTCTCAACCACAGGAGGTGTGTTCTGCACTCAGGACCCTCCTCCCCACAGAGGGGCGGCTGGGCGCTGCTATAGCACATTGTAGTAGGTCATCTCTTTCATGGCCTGCTGGGTGAGGATACTGGCCTCAGGCCCGTTCTCCACGCCTGTGTAGGCGTAGCTGTTCTCCTCGAAGTCTTCCATCTCCTGCTGGTTGTCAATCTCTGAGGGGTCAGTGCCTGTTAGCTCCATCATGGGGTCTGTGAAGAGAGGGGGCACAGTCAAACCTCTTCTGGGGAGCCGGTCACCCTCACTCGGGCAGCCGGTGAGCTTTCTGAATAAAAGACTTCCTAACATGGCTTCCAGAGAATTCTTAGCCAACAGCCTTCCAGCTTTCTCCAAGTCCTCACAGTGGAGCCCAGCAGGCCTGGCCTTAAAGTCCTCTTGGGACCTATGTCACGTGATCATGGCAACCTCATGCATAGGGAATGAAGTGCTATCTGACCCTGCACCACCCCGGTTAGTCAGTTGCAGATTGGACCACTGTGATCCACTGGGTTTTCCTTGACTGATGTTTGAAAGTAGATTAGTTTGGAAGCACAGTTGAGCATCATAGCTGCACATAAGCCCCCAGTGACACGGGGGTGGGGGCCGTGGTCGGGAATTGAACTCAGATTACCAGCATGAAAGGTAAGAATACTGAGACCACTGAGCCCCCAAGTCACTGTTGTTGGTTACCATTGAGTGGATTTGGATTCACGGCAACCCCAAGTGTGTGAGTAGAACTGCTCCATGGGGTTTTTAAGGCTAGGATCTTTCTGAAGCAGATCACTAGGGCTTCATCCACAGAACCTCTGGATGGGTTCAAACTACTTTGGCTAATAGTTGAGTGCTTAACCTTGGTGCCACCCAGTGAGGGAATCCCCCGAAGTCACTGAGCCCTGGTTATTCATTCCGTGTGGTATCAGGCACCCTAGCCTACACCACACTACCTCTCTCCACAACTGTTGTTCTTTAGCACCCACTGCGTGCCAGGCATCACATACATCATCTTAGGGATCCTCACAGCAGCCCCATTTAGCAGATGAAAAGGCTGAGGCGCAGAGAGGTTAATCAACTTGCCCAAGTTGCACATGGACCTGGCTCTGGGAGTTCCAGAGCTGCTGCTTTGAACCACTGTGCTTCTCTGCCCCGAATCACTTGAGG